GGGTTAAATATAGAATAATCGAAAAATGCCTTATGCATCATCTATATATAGATGATAGTATTCATATCATCTATAATTTTCCATTATACTTATATTAACTAAAAATAGTATTTCATGTTTTTTACGGAGTATTTTATAAGTTTAGAACATGTATACTATATAAAATTTAAAAAGTATAAATATTATTATAAATATATAATTTAAATATTAAAAGTCTATAATATACTGTATATGATATGGTTGGAGTGAGTGTAAAAAAATTAAATGGGTAAAATACTATTGAGAAGCTAAACTGAATTTTATAAGTTAAAATGTGAGAAATAACACCCACCACTGCTCAAGATAAAGTTTTAAGAATTTCTAGGGGAGTAATGCTAGTAGCAAAAAAGAACTTTGTCAAACCACTTGTGTAAACTTGTAGGAAAATTGTGATAGGAAAACTATTGGAAGGAAAATTTTACAAGTGGGACAAGCGGAGCATTTACACAGAATTAAAAGCGGGTGACGCTTGAAACTTTTCCGGGTGGTGGAGGCAATGACCTCGCCGGAACGAGTGACGTGAAACCAGATCAAGGTTTGTTAGAATTTGATTAAAGAATCAAATAAGGAGAAAATAAATGGATTTCAAGGAAGTTATGGGCAACCTTGGGTGACTAAAGAGACGGCTGTCTCATTGTTTCCTCTTGAAGGTGGATGGCTAATTCGTCTTGGTGTTGGGGAAGCATTTTAGGATGTGTTTCTTTGTGCTGGTCTTTATTGATTTATTACTCATAAACACTTTTTTACGTATATGCTGCTTACAAACCAAATTTTTTTTAATGGAAGCAAAATGATTTAAATGATAGATAAGTCGTTTGAAAATATTCATAAATGATGAGAAATAGTTTTGTAAATAATCTCGTCAAAATGGAGAAACGAAAAAACTAGCTTATAAATAAGTAGGTAAGATCTACGTATTTTTTTCTAGCTTATAAGCAACTTGTAATACCCCGTATCAAGATGGGAATGGGAAGAGCTCAAAAGGATTGATAGTACTACTTATACCAACAAGGTGCATCTTCTTTTCGAGAGCTCATCACCTAGAAACTCCAAGGTTAAGCGTGCTTGACCTGGAGCAATTTTAGGATGGGTGACCCCCTAGGAAGTTTTCCTTGGGCGCGCACGAGTGAGGCACAAAGTGTGCGGGAAAGACTTGTGTTGGTTTGTGGGGCCAGTCTACAATCCTATTAGCGGACACTTACGGCCAAGGTGGGGGCCGGGGTACAAATGGTATCAGAGCATTCGATAAAAAAGAAACAATGATTTTGGAAATCAAATCAAAAGAGTTACAAACACAAGTCCGCATCTCTCCACATCTCTGCCCGGGAAGGTAAAAACAATTAGTTTACTTATGACTAATTACATTTTAAATTAATTATAGAATGAGTCAGGACTCGACTCACGGTCAGGCAAACCCTCACGCGGAGCTTGAGCACGTTAGTGTGCATACGGTGCACACTGAAGCATCCAGTTACGTGCCCCAGCAACATCAGCCTCAGCCGGAACCTCAGCCAGTTCCGGAGCAGTTCGCGGGTCAGAACCCGAATATGGCAGTTCCGATGTTCCAACCACAAATGGTTGCGAACATGTTCCAGTTCTTCCAGCAGATGGCTGGAGCGCATGTACCTCCACCACCACCACCTCCTGCACCCATTGTCTCGATTGAAAAACTCAAGAGGAATGGGGCGCAGGAATTCTGTGGCGACCAGATAGCGGACCCTCAGATAGCG